GCTGAACACTGTCATCAGGGAACTGAAACAAACCACAGTGAGCTATCTCTTCTCCCCGGCTACGATGGATGGCCGTGATGAAAAAGAGAAATGTCACCAGCAAAACCCCAGCCGTGCTAAGTGTTGGAGAGGGTGTCCAGAGGACATTGAACCCTCACACACTGCTGGTGGGCATGTGAAACGGTGCAGCTGCTTTGGGAAAGAGGTTGGCCATGTTTCAAAAGGTCAAAAATGGAGTTACCACATGACCCAACAAGTCCACTCCTGTCGAAGGAAAAGGGAAAACATACGTTTACGCAAAAACTTGCATGCAGATGTTCCTAACAGGTGGAAACCACCTGACTCTGCTAATAAGTACACGAACTGAGGTCTCTCTATGGTTTGGCTCTAAGAAGAAATGAAGGGACCTGAAGACATGATGTAAAAGACACACGCACACCCCACGACTGCATGCATTTCAGATGTGCCAATCTGTAGTAGAAAGTAGATGAGTGCCGGGGCCTAGGGAAGGCCGAATGGAGAGTGGCGCCCGATGGGCTTTCCCTTTGAGCTCATGACCATGGTCGCACAGCTCTAAATTTGCGAGAAGCCATTGATTTCTACGTATTAAATGACTTGAATCTCCGTAAAGCTGTTTAAAAAGTAAAGGGAAAGAATGCAAGGGAACGAAAACCCGAAAACCCGATTCAGGGCTGTAGTGGCCGGCGGGGGAGGGGCCAGGTAGAAAGGACTGTCAGCCTGGAGTCCCCGCGCCAGGCAGTGGCATGTGATAGCATCGAGCCCTTCGGGTTAGGGACTGTCAGGGGTGTCCTGAGGTAAGAGCGCGAGTTCTCGGCCGGTGTGCTCCGGAAGGGCCGGACCTAGGAGGCCGCGCACCAGCAGCAGGTGGCCCCAGGCGCGCCCCCGAGCACCCTGGTGGGCCGGGGCCGAGGCGCGCGCCCCAGGCCCGAGGGGGTGTGGCGAGGGCGCGCACTGGTTCTAGGGTTGCCCAGGGCAGCGAGCGGGGAGTTGGGGGGGGTGGTGCCGCAGACGCCCCCATTGGGCGAAGGGGGTCGGCTCGTCGGGGGCGGGACCGGGTGGCTGGCCGGCGGCGGGGAAGTGCGCTGGGCCCC